GAAACACTTGACTGAGTTTACTTTTTACAAGTATGTTTGTCACTCTCTTGTGAACTGCTATTTCCGGGATGCCTTGATAGTCGATGCAAACATTGTGCTGTTGAGGCTAGAGAGGTGAGTAAAGTAAGCCTGATTCCCAGTTTGGACTTCTCTGTTGACATCCACACCTTGGCGCTCATATGACCTTATGCAGTTGCGAGCGCCTTAAAATCTTACTAATACTAAACAGAGTTAAGGCTCTCCACTCATTTGACCCAATCCTGTCAGAGATGAACTTTGGATTCGGAAGTCCCACCTCCTTGATAACCCTCAAGTGTAGAAAGAGGTATTGAAGCTATAATATAGTGACCAAGAACACTTACGACAAAGACCTGACTTATCTGTATGTAGCAGGGTGTTAGGCAACCTTTCAGTTTGAAAAGCTTTATTTCCATCGCCTGGATTCTGGCCAAAAGGCTTAGGTTTAAGGTCAGAGTTATAATGAGTTAGCCATGGATTCGGGTAACTAGGGTTCAGGTTAGGGCTCACTCTACACCCATCCCTAATCCTAAGCCTAACCGTATCTCTTAACTCTTATTATCCGAATTTAGCAAATGGGAATAAAATGTTCCAAACTGGAAGACTGCTGGACGTGAAACACGAACAACCCACACCAACACTCCTCCTGCTTTTTTTCAAAGTCCGCCCCCTGCATCCCCTCCCCTCAAAAAAACCTCCGACCAGCAACAACATAAACAACCAACGTAAGAAAACAAACAAACAGACAGACAGACAGACAGACAGAACTACACTAACTGACCAACATTGAGACATTTCGGAGTTCCCACACAGTCCTCTTCCTCCTTGTCCTGTCCTACACACAATGATTGGCCGCAGTCATTCCCTTCTTGAGTGATGTCACACGACCTTGACCTAGATCGGCTGGCCTTACCACAGGTGGCGGAGCAAGCACTCCATGACTCCCAGTTGGACCAGTTGCGTTTTTCTGGGAAGAAACAATATTTACAATAATTTGATTGTAAATACTTCACGCCACCATTGGTCCATGTTCGGTTGTTTAGGAGGCCTGCTGCGTTTTCTGAGGAGAGATTATAATCATTTATTGGTTGTAAAAAATTCACGCTGCTATCGACTCGTGTTAGGTTGTTTAGAAGGCCGGCTGCGTTTTTCTGGAAAGAGATTATAGTGATTTGGCTGTAAACAATTCACGTTACTATGGATCCATGTTGGGTTGTTTAAGAGGCTGGCTGCCTTGGTCCACTCTTTCAGGGCCTTTAACCCTGGCTGGCTCGGTCACATCATCGCTGCAGAAAGACCTGGAATAAAGAATGCAAGTGGTTGGCGGATGCTCTTGTGTGTTTTGCTCCTTCTTTCCAATCAAATATCTATCGTCCACTTCTCCCCCTCTTTGTTTGTTTGTGTTTGATATTCTTACAACACCTCAAATCTCCGGCACTTATATGACCTTATAGTGTTGCAAGTGCCGCAAAGCTCTTACTAAAACTTAAATAATACAGAACCGAATCATGTGCTAGGGGAACCGCTGCAAAGAGATTAGAGTTGGGGAAAGGGGGAGGGGGGGGGTGGCAAGATGGGGAGAGAAAGGTGGCTGTAGAAAACAAACGCACGACGTATTCGTAATTACAGTCGGAATTATCTGAGACGGCCACCTTTTGTGGAGAAGAGACGTGGCCGTCTTGGGCAGGTCGACATCTTGGACACTGTTGTTATATCGTACATTAGAAAATAAGCACCAGAACGGAAAGTAGGAAGTAGTCGTTTGTACCGATGGTTCTCTTGGACAAGTGGTCGTTAGAGCAGGTTCCAGAGTTGCTGTTTGTTTGTTGTTGTTGTTGTTGTTGTTTTTGTTGTTGTTGTTGTTGTTGTTGTTGTTGTTGTTGTTGTTGTTGTTGTTGTTGTTGTTATTGTTGTTGTTGTTGTTTTTTGTAAATTAGTTTGAATATTTGGAATAATGGACCTGAATGGGAGAAAGGACTGTGAGATTTTTTTAAAGCGGTTTCAAACGTGGCAAGTGATACTTTTCATTCTAGTGTAGGTGGTTTACGCCCCTGTTGACACACTTTAGGCCCTTTATAATGTGGGCTTCGATTTTGTTTTCCAAGCAAACTCGGGCTGAGAGGGATACAACGTCCAAATAGGTGGATCGAAACACTTGACTGAGTTTACTTTTTACAATAAGGGACTGGAACCCAAGGCTTCTGAGTGCGACGGCGAGGTGTCTAACTGCTTCATCACAAACGGCGATGGATGAGAAGTGGGTTAAAGATTATTTTATGATGTGTATATGTTGTTAATGGCAGGATGGGAAAGATCCATGATCAGAACCATCAGGAAAAGTCATAGGAGATTCTTTAGCCATACAAATAGATTAAATGGAACATAGAAACTGCTGCAGCGTAGAAGGATGGAAAGAGGAGCAGAGGAAGACAAAGAACTGCATACACAGATGGCCTGAACAACTTTACAACGAATAACACAAAAAGGAAAACCGAGCTGATCAAGAAAACAGAAAACAGAAAGGAATGGGGTGCCAAGATCGACAATGTCTGCTCCAGACCTAACATTTGAAGAAGAAGTTATTGTTCTTGTTGTTGTTGCTGCTGTTGCTGTTGCTGCTGTTCTTGTTGTTGTAGTTATTAATGTTGTTCTTGTTGTTCTGGTTGTTCTTGCGGACAACCAGAAGGGAGGAGGAAGTAAAGGGAGAAGAGCGGGACGATAATAAAAATGAAAAAGATGAAATATGAAAGATAGACAGACAGACAGACAGACACACACACACACACACACAAACAGACAGACAGACAGACAGACAGACAGACAGACAGACAGACAGACAGATAGATAGATAGATAGATAGATAGATAGATAGATAGA